ACGCCATTCTCCTGCCTCAGCCTCCCGAGTAGCTGGGACTACAGGCGCCCGCCGCCTCTCCCGGCTAGTTTTTTGTATTTTTTAGTAGAGACGGGATTTCACTGGGTTAGCCACGATGGTCTCGATCTCCTGACCTCGTGATCCGCCCGTCTCGGCCTCCCAAAGTGCTGGGATTACAGGCTTGAGCCACTGCGCCCGGCCCAAGACAGGTGTTTCTAGTTGCCATTATACTTATTCTACCTTACGAGGACCCATTGTATGAGGCTAGATGGAAGTGAGTAAATAGACGTCCTACAGTTGCATATGACTGCCACTTGGTGTGCTGTGTTCCAGACACAACACATATACTATGATTTTCTACCCATTGTATGTATGGGCACATGAGACGTGATGGATTCAACACACCACTGAAGGCTGGAGAGCACCCCTGATACCCATTCTTATATGCTGAGCCTGCGGCCAGGAAACTTAAAGAACTGCCTCCAGTTTGGCCCCTTTCCTGGCGCCTGAGGTATAGAAAATAGGGAAACTTGTTGAGACTTTAATGGTATTTGGATTTAAACTTTGAGAAGATTTCCAGGGCTTGTTGCCTCATGACTCAGCAGCACCCCCTTATCCCTGAAAGCCCTGCTTTGGGCGTCCACGTCGCCATCATCATCATCATCATCATCATCATCACCCTTGTGGATGGCGTGCTTCCAGGAGGTTGGCAGTGCTGCATCATGGGGCTTACCTAAGGCAGCAAACTTTTGAAATGCCCCTCCATCCAAGGCAGCTGGGTTCCCTGGGTGTGTGAAGCTTGAGTCCCAGGAGGAGGGTAGGGAGGGATGGAGAAGCAGTAAGGGAATGGAGGAAAGCCCCTATGTGCCCTCTGGTCCCCAGATCCCTGGAGGAGCTTCACTCTAGGGGTCAGTGGAATGGAGGCTATCAGGATTCCTCTTTTCGTGGGAAAGTCAAACAGCCCTGCCCTTTACTCAGAGGCAAGGCAGAGTGTGTCCTCAGCTGTCTCCCTGAGGAGCCAGGCTGACGCTGGGCTGCATCTCGGAGCACCCCCTCACAATGGAGCCACTCCTCTTTGTGGCAGAAGGAGCACCCATGGAATCTGAGTGCCCGGCCTCTGGGAAGCAGCCTGTGAGTGCTCAGGGAAGGAGGAGGCCTTCCCTTCCAGCTGTGCTTGTTGGGCGGGGGCTGCTCTGAGGCTTGGGTGAGGAAGGTAGATGGTGCAGAGGTAGGTCATCTCATCAAGTCAAGAAGGGCTGAGGTCAGAACTACATTTCCTATCATTGTACCCTTCCCACCTCCACTTTCATATTTTCACATTGTAATTGCATTATAGAATGTTTAGGATATATAGAAAATAATCTCTCCTAAGCCTGCTATCTTCATATAACCACCACTATCATTTTGGAGTATGCCCTTCCAGTCTTTGTCCCTCCTCATGTTTTTATTTTGTGATGATACAACAAATATACAGGTTCTTTTCTCTCTCTTGATGTTGTATGATAAGCATTCTCCATTGGCCATATGACCATGTTTACTTTTTTATTGAGTATAAAATGCATACAAGGCCTGGCACATAGAGATCAGAGATAATTATTACAATATGGCTTACACCTGTAATCCTAGCGCTTTGGGAGTCTGAAGCAGGAGGATCATTTGAGGTCGGGATTTTGAGACCAGCCTAGGAACAAAAATTAAAAAAAAAAAAGAAAGAAAGAAATAGCCAGGCATGGTGGCGTGCACTTGTATTGCTAGCTGTCTCGGAGGTGGGAGGACTGCTTGAGCCCAAGAGGCCAAGGCTGGGGTGAGCAAGCCTCTTACAAATGTGATGTGTTTCCAAAAAAACAAAGAAATAAAATGCATACAGTAAAGTACACAAAGTGTACTAATCTTAAGTGAACAACTGATACAACTGATACATTTTTCATGTATGTCCATCCATGTAACCATCCCCTACATCCCCTCATCCCCCTTCCTAGTTAATCCACCCTCCCAGCCCCTGTCAGTTCTTATGATCGTAATTACTAATGGTCCTAGAACATCTACCAGAATTCTACCCTTTTCCTGTTGCTGGGCAATTAGGGCACTTCCAGTTGTTGATTATTACAAATGAGATGTGCCTTTTAGCAACGCGTGTGCCCTTAAAAAGCAACACTGCTCATCCAACAGGGAGGTTTTATCTGCAAATGGGCAGCACAAGGCTGTGGAGACTCAAGACCATAACCATTCATTTGGCCTAATTAGGAGCCAGGCTGAACCTTTTATTGTTTGGGAGAGGGAGAATTGGAGAGTGGAAGATTTATCTTGGAGCCCTCCTTCTGCTTCAAGGTGTATCTGTGTGAGGAGAGACAATTTATTAGCCTTCATTTTAAGAATATTCCTGGCCGCTTCTTTCTCTGGTGCTCGAGGGGATCTGTGGTTGGCAGAAAGGACAAAGGGAAGTGTTTGGTTGCAACCCAAGAAGGCACAGTGAGAGAAGAAGGGGCTTGTGCAGAAGCCGAGCTGGGCTTATTTGAAAGCCAAGAACTATTGGCTTGTCATTTAGACATGAATCAGAAGGCGAAATGTTTGGGCCTGACTAGAAAGAAGAAGTGCTGAAAGTTGAGAGAGCAGGCATGGGGGGCTGTGTCATGGAAAAGAGGGAGTTGGTGGAGTGGAACTGCAAAGCTTGCAGGAGGCAGCAACAAGGTGGCGGGCAGGCGGGTGGGGGCAAGTGAAAGGGGTGCTGTCTTTGGGTTAATGCCATTGGGGGATCTGGCCCAGACGCAGCAGTAGATTAAGTTTCTGAAAGCACATTCCTGAGCAGAATAGGGGCTGTGTTTTGCTGGTTGGCTGATGTATGAGGGAGGCCAAGTGGTAGACGGGATTACCGAAGGCACGGTCTGCATTTAGAGGAAAGACTGGGCAGCGGCTTGCCGGTGCACACGCATGCACACCCACACACACTCAGCATGGTAGGCTTCCTTTTCCTCTGGCCTCTTCTCCATGCTTTCTCATGTTCATCTTTGCACAAAGCAGTTGCTGTCTGGCCTACCTGGCAAGATGCTGCCTCCTGCATCCAGCCTCTAGAAATCACTGGGAGCTATAGGTCATGGGGCCTAGGACCAGGCTGGAGGATTCAGGGGTGGGGAGGAGGCCTCTAGCAGAATAATTTTCTGGTCCAGTGTTGGGAGCTGGAGGGTCCACTTGTACTTCACCCTGCCCAGGTGACATCATCTTTTGATTTTCAGTAAAATGAAGTCAGAAGTTGAATCACCTGAAGAGTCTCACCTTTGCTGTCTCCCTCCCTCCACCCCGGGTTGTCCTGGCCATGTGGGTAATGGCTGCTGCATGCTCTGTGGAGATGCCCATCTCGCTCTCCTCTGTGAAGGGTTTTTTATTTCCTATTTAACCTAAACTTTTTTAAAAAATAAATGTCTCTTGCTACTAATGCCCCGCTTTAGATCATCTTGTCTAATTCTTGGTTTTTGAAATACTTTTAACTTCGAACTCCTTCCTTTCACTTCCCTTTCCCTTTTCGCAAGCCTCACAGCAGGCAGCCAACCGCTCTACATAGCTCAGCTCCACTCCTGAACCATCCGCAGACCCTGCCACCTGCCAGGGAGCACTCCACTCCTTCGTACTGAACCCTGAGTTCCACCTCAGGCCTGTTCTCAACACAGCATGGCAAGGAGTCACAACCGACTCATCAGAGCTGGCAATGGGAGAGCTGTTCTCAATCCCTTACTTCTAACAGTCAACCATTAATAATTATTTATTTTTAACTTTTAAAATTTTTTGATAATTTTATTCTCCCATCATCCCTAG